TTACGTACATCCATTTCTCACATTCTCTTTCTGGCCAATTCAAATAGTTTAATCTGTATAAATCAGGGCCACGCTTTGAAAAGGGAACCACCTTACAAATCACAGAAAAAGTACTGAAGACCATTACTCTAGATAAAAATATTTGACTCAATGTTTATAGGCATAAATCTCTCAGACATGCTTTGCTTAGTAAACCATGTATTTTTCCCTTTGCTTGGTACCATCTTTTTGTTAATAAAGTTGATAAATGAATGGGGGAATAAAAATCTCTAAGAACTTAAGTTATTTTTGTTTTGAGTAGTTGCCTGGACAGATGTATCTCATAATTAGAAAGCTGATCACTAGTGAGGAAAGATAAGTCTTCACCAAGAGAACCTGCCAAAGCCCTTAGGATTTATAATTCTAGGAAATAATGGTTAGCAATAAAAAAAAAAAAAGTGATCTAAATTTTTATTTTATCTATTACATCATTCCTGTTCATCTTTTCTTCCAACTTATTATGAACCACCTCTGCAGAAAGAAATGCTAAATCACTTGCAAGTTCTGCATAGATATGGCTCACCTCCTAAAAACAAGGCTGTAGCTTAGGAAGTTGACTTGCTTATTTCCTTCCTCCTACTTCAGCACTTAGTACAAGGAAGGATTATTTAACAGTTTCTTTTTCCAGAGGGAATAATGCAGGGTCATGCTGTACCAGGTTTCTCTAAGAGAAAACCAAGGCCAATAATACACAGAAGATAAGTCATATACCCCCTCAAGAGCAAATATAAAGAACAAGAGGTGCTGAAACCGGTTTGGCTCAGTGGATAGAGTGTTGGCTTGTGGACCGAAAGGTCCCAGGTTCAATTCCGGTCAAAGGCATGTACCTTGGTTGCGGGCACATCCCCAGTGGGGGGTGTGCAGGAGTCAGTTGATTGATGTTTCTCTCTCATTGATGTTTCTAACTCTCTCTCTCTCTCCCTTTCTCTCTGTGAAAAATCAATAAAATATATATTTAAAAACAACAAGAGAAGTAGTAATAGAACACAGATTTAAATAAATTTTTGGAGAATGGAAACTGGGTGAAGGAGTGGTAACTGGCTTAATTTAGTAGAGAAGGTGAATTCTAAACACCTACAGTGAGGACAACAAAGAGAAGCAAGCCTATCCACTCCATGCATTGGAATTCCCTGTTTAACAGTCTTCCCCACAAGTCTATATGCTCTTCCTGGAGGCAGGATGAAGTTTTCAATCCCCAAAATTTACAGGCTTGGTTGATAACAGGAACTCAAAAAGTGTTTGTGACTGAACAGAGTGAATGTATTAATTTGTTAATGTATCTACTTATAGGCCTATTTACTTAATACAGCCTCTAAAATCATCTTCCATTTTCAAGATTTTCCTTGGAGAGTTAGCCTAACAGCACAGCTTTTTTTATTTAGACAGAATTCATAATACAAACTAACAATAGACAATAAAGAGAAAGTGTGAGCATAGTACAATATTTTGCTAGTTTCCCCCCCCCCCCCTCCTATAGGACATATCCTAAACTTAGTGACTTAAACCAATACAAATTTATTATCTTAACAGTTCTGGTGGTCACAAGTTCAAACTAGCTCTCATGAGTTAAAATCCAGGTGTCAATAGTGCTGCATTCCTTTCTGCAGGTTTAGGAGAGAACCTTTATCCTTGCCTTTTTCAGCTTCCAGAGGCTGCCCACATTCCTTTTATCCATCTTTAAAGCAAGACACTGAGGGGTGAGGGCATGTATGGGAGTGGGGTAGGAAGGGGGGTAATGGTAAGATATGTACACATATAATTTCTTAATTAAAAAATGGGGAGAAAATAAATAAAAACAGAAAATTATTTATCCTCTGTTGCATCTATCCGATCTTGTTCTATCATCACATCTCTCTCTGACCTAGCTATACAAGTGACTCTTAAATAAATATGTAAGTAGATTGGACCCACCTACCTATCTGGGAAAAATCTCATGTTAAGATCCTTACTTTAACACAGCTGAAAGACTCCTCTTCATATGTAAAGTAATACAACCACAGTTCCCAGATTAGGATATGACATTTTCGGGGAGCTATTATCTTGCCCACCACAAATGTATTTCAGTCAATTACCATTGCATTGAAGCAGGCAAATGTCCTCATCCCCTCTCAGAAGGACCCTGTTCCTCTGAAGCAAGTTCAGTGCCGGCCCTTCTGATCTTGGGAGGGAAATTCCTCTGTAAACTCAATCATAAGATATTACCCAGGGCAAACCCCCAAAAGCCCCCTCTCCCTTACCAGGCTTTTTCTGACTTTGCTCATTTCTTTCACAGGGGTCACCTGACTAACTGCTCACATCCAGGTGTGTCAAGCTTTTTCTCTTTTTTAGAGAGACAAAGACACTGACCACGCAGAACCATGCTCTAATAAAATGTGGTGAAGGCTGAGAAAGAAAAAATGTAAATTAGCCCTCAGAAGAAATCCTTTCAGTTCAAGTTTCACCAGGATGGTATCATTCCACAGCTAAAGGTCATTCATCAATCTATAATAGTTTTTATTACAACGGTTTTCTTCTCAATTTAGTGATGATGATTTTTCTCACTTCTGCACTTTGTTTTGCTTTTCCCCCTTCATTCAAAGGGGGCTAATGGCTTTACTTTTCTGTCTTCCATAGTTATTAGATACCATTTCTTTCAATCCAAACATTTCTGAGAGTGAATTCCTCTTCCCTCACAACCTGGCCTTTCAGTGTCTTTTTGGGCTTCTTTAACATTTTATCACATGATCACAAATAACCTCCTCCTTTGAATGGATTTACAATAGTATTTCACAACACCTCTTTTCATGGGACTGAGTTCAGACAAGCACTAGTTGGCCAAGTTACCATTACCATTCCAACACCATGATGCCAGCAGTTGAGAGAGAGCCCAAAACATTTATTAGCATGAACCCCTGAAGAAAGAATAACTGAATGTTTTCCAAATGACTATATGCTTCTCTTGAGATTTAACTGTTTATTATAAATTAAGAGGTTATTCTTCTGATTCTTTGATGTTTGAATGTAGGAACTATTAGAGATATTACATTTAATTTTTCCAAAATATGTTATTCATATACAGACTATGTTGCACCTCAACATTCTACAAAATCCTTCCGTAATCATACACAGTTAAACTAACATTTCCTGGGGACCAGAGATATGTGATTCAAAAATAAAACCTAACTCTCTTTACTTGTTAATCTGCCTTCTCCAGGTAATCAAAATTATGAAATGCTGCTATCGGAAATTGCCATTTCCGGGAACTGGGAGACATTTGAAATATGGACAAATCCTCATACCAGAAAGTATTATAAAGAAAATTTTATTAAGGTATTTAATTAAAATTCCAAATAATCACACAAAAAATCAGATATTAAGAGTTAATCTGTACATTGATGCTAAAACTTCCTGTCTAACTTTAGTGCATAAACTTTCTCTCCTTATTTTCAACATTCTTTCTTTCCCTGGCAGACACACAAGATTTGGGTGCTCCTGTTCCTAACCTTCCAGTTTTTTTGGAATATCATTACAAATTTTATCTTCAATCCCCTCCCACATTTGTGTTAACCACTCTTTTCATAGGACATCCTCTGTAAATCATAACTAAGTCTCAGAAGTGATCAAAAATAACCCTATGAGCCCCATAGCTATACCACTTTCCCCTCTACTAGCAATAACCTTGGCTTCAATTGCTCAAATTTTTATCTTCTTTTTCCCGATACTGGAAGGACACAGGCCATCTACAAACCCTGGCTTGCCTTTCTTCCTTTCTACTGGAGGTCCTCATGATCTACGTTGCTTTCATTGTAATTATCACAAGGGTTACTTATTCATGATTCCTGTCACTGATTATCACTATTTTGTTTCTCTTTCTTCACCTTCCTACCCAGTAATGTGTACTTCTATGTATTTGTCAGTGATTTTTGTCTTATCATAAGTCATCTTCATTGATCCAGAGCTTCTTATTCTATCACATCTCCTACATTCACTCCTCAAAGTTACTATAACATTACCTAGTAAAAAATAATAGGCAACAATTTTGATAACTGCTTCAAAATATGACCTGAGAAATATAAGGTTCCAATTTATGTCAATGCCTCTGATTATATACAAGGATAAGGCCTCGGAAATATATTGTATTGACTTCTGAGCAACAATTAGGGCATCTGCAGAGTCAATCAGTATCTGATCTTATTTATAATTGGCTTGCAATAAGCAGACAATATTTTAGTGAATAAGGCAATGCTTGCCAAGACCAGTTTGGCTCAATGGATAAAGCGTCGGCTTGGGTACTGAAGGGTCCCGGGTTCGATTCCGGTCAAGGGCATGTACCTTGGTTGTGGGCATATCCCCAGTAGGTAGTGTGCAAGAGGCAGCTGATCGATGACTCTCTCTCTCATCGATGTTTCTAACTCTCTATCTCTCTTCCTTCTTCTCTGTACAAAATCAATAAAATATATTTTTAAAAAAAGAATAAGGCAATGCCTTTATAGGTCTATTGAAATGCAGATCTAAAAAGCTATAAAATTTATCACAAATATCTTCATCTCTTTTCATTTACTCAGGGATTCCTGGTTTGAAAACTGTAACATTAGTGAAAAACCAAAACAATTTTTTAAGTAAAAGCAAATTATTCACTACTATAAAATTTCTAGAAAATAATTGGTTTATAGCTTATAGTACCAACTACTGTGCCTAGCACTTAGTAAGCTCTCAATAAATTACTCTTGAATGGAATGAATGTATTAATGAATTCATGGTGTGAAAAGAAAGTAATGAGACTTATTTCCATATACTGTACCACAGAACATACATGCTGTTTCATAAATGAATAAGTGTGTATCATTTTGAAAAGAAATAGATAACTGAATGTGGATCAAGGTAAACCCAGTAGTGATGACACATCACCATGCTGTTTGGCTTCATTTTTCTCCTGCCTGTCACAGCTCCCAACCTTCCTGTCAGAACTCATTCTGTCTTCCTCACTGAAACTGTTGTTCATAGTTGAGGTATCTACCAGGAAAACCATAAACAGGGAAAGCTAATACATTGTATTCATTCCTCTTGAAGACAGCTCCCAGGTCAGCCCTTCTATTTTCACCTCTATAAACTCTTTACCAACCAGCATCTCTCTCATCTCGCCTTGAGGAAATAGGCCAATGGAGAATGGAATAGCAAGAGGCAAGGTAAGTACATTTCAATTCTTTCTGAGGTAACAGTCCTTTTTTCATCTTGATATATTTTCTCAACCTCAGTGAAGCAGCAGAGCCAAAGCTGGGACCTACAGATTTGAGATTCTGTCTTACCTCAGGGATTGACCCAGTTCTAGAGATACATGTCCAAGCTTTGGTCTTTTCTGGCTCATTCCCATTATTTTCCCTTTTTAATTTATTTTTATTGTTGAAAGTATTACAAGATGTCCCCCCTTTTTTCCCCATTGACCCCCTCCACCACACACCCACCCCTCCCATGTTTTCATTCCACTATTGTCTATGTCCATGGACTATGCATATATATATATATATATATATATATATATATATATATATATATAAATTCCCAGGTTAATCTCTCCCCAACTCCTTACTCTTGCCTTCCCTCTGAGATTTGTCAGTCATTCCCATTTTAATAATACAAAGAAATTCATTTAGCACAGCTGTCCAGGGGTGTGAACCTGCACTATGGAAAATATACTGAGTGGCCAGATTATTATGATCTCTGAATGCATAATAATATGGCCACTCAGTATATATCCTATATAATAAAAGACTAATATTCAAATTGCTCCCTTGACCAGGAGTTCAACCAGCAGGCAGGCCAGCCAACTGCCCATGTCCCCTCCCCCTGGCCAGGTTGGCTGGACTCCACCCATGCACAAATTCATGCACCTGGCCTCTAATACACACACACACACACACACACACACACACACACACACACACACACTGAGTGGCTAGATTATTATGCATTCAGAGATCATAATAATCTGGCCATTAAGTATATAGTCAGTGGGTACAGTTAGACCAAGAATCCATGATTCCCTGTTATTGAATTCAAAAATCCCTTTGTTGCATGACAATATAACATGAAACGATTCCCCTCTTTGCTTCATATTGTGTCTGTGTCAACCCCAGATTCATATCAGATACTTGAGATAAGTTCTGAAGCAACAATTTTGATAACATAGTTTTCACAAGCTTCACCAAAAGAATAAAAATATGACAGAAAATCACCTGCTTACTTCTTCCTCAGTCAATAAGTATGCATTGCTATAGACCCCATCCGGCCTATAATTCAGCTATATGGTATAATAATATGGGAAAGATAAATAAACATTTTCCATAAAATGACAATTGGGATGAAGACAGTTTGTTCCAGTTTAGCTGTAGAGTCACCATTGCATCTAGCTGAATATAGTAGGGAAAAGTAATTGACCCTGTGAGCAAGGTAAAATTTTCAATATTTGATTGGAAAGGGACTAAATTTCAATCAATGGTTGCTGCTGATTCTATGCTAGGAGACAAGATACCCAATGTATGAGACACTTGCTTCTTCTCATTCACCACTGCCACTAAAGTACCTAGTTGACTTCTTTGGCCATGAGTATGTCATCAGCCTAAGAAAAAGTTCTTCCAGTTTTTCTTCATCTGGAAAGGAAACCAGCTACAGAGCCTGGCACGTAGTATATTTTAGAGATAAAAGACTGAAGTTTGCCCCGGTGCCAGGCTAGGAACACTCACATGCAAATTGTGTTTCCAAATCAGCTATTTGCCCTAGTATCTACATGCCCTTGATTGTTCCTGACTTCTACATGTCAAATCTGGTGTGGCCTCATGCACCCTTGGGTGGTGGGTTTTTCTACCACTGCCACAGCTAGAGCCTTTCAGACACCAGGCCAAATCTGGTCTAGTGAGTTGTTGTTCATGGAAAGCAACCATATATTTCTGAAGACAAAAATTATAAGCACTTTTCTAATGATAGAACAAAGGAAGAAAGAACATTAGCATAGCCTACATTAATGCAAGATTAATCTCCCTAATGGGCTTTGGGAAATGCTCCATCTCTGTGTGGAAGTCAACCCTTACTCGTCACACATTATGTGATGACCAAGGGAAAGAAGTAAAAAGGGATACCACATCCTTCTTGTTTCCAGGTGGCTCCCTATAATTCTCTTTCACATGCTACTCCCAGGTCTCTGTGGTCAGCAAATGATTTTAATTCCACTCTTTAGTGGAAAGCATGAAGCTCCCAATAATATTTTATGTATAAATTTGTATTTTTAAATATATTATTTTATTACACACAAGATTCTCACCAGAAAAGTTCTACTAAAATAAAATGTGTCCATAGATGTCCAAACCTTACCTAAATCTCAAGATTAGTTCGTTTTTTACAATGAGGATATGTACTTCTAAACCTTTCTCTTAAACTCTACTTAGGAAAAAATGCCCTCTCTGTCACCAAATCCTTCCCCTTCTCATATACTGACTGGCATGCCACCTGGAATTTAAATGCAATATGGAGTGAGTAAAGGTTTAGTGCTGCCAAGAATGAAGTTCCTAAATCCAGAAGAGGTACCCAAATGTGAAAATCAAAATTACCAAGATTCTGCTGAAACCGGTTTGGCTCAGGGGATAGAGCATCAGCCTGTCAACTGAAGAGTCCCGGGTTTGATTCTAATCAAGGGCATGTACCTTGGTTGCAGGCACATCCGCAATAGGGAGCGTGCAAGAGGCAGCTGATGGATGACTCTCATCAATGTTTCTAACTCTATTTCTCTCCCTTCCTCTCTGTAAAAAAAATCAATAAAATATATATATTTTTAATTACCAAGATTCTTATTGCTACTACTGTGGTAATCTCAGGGTGACTCAAGAGACAGCAGGCAACTGGATTCCCTGAGGCTGTCTCTTAACTAAATAGAAGCAAAGTGGATGTGGCAGGAGATTGGGTCAAGAGCAGACCAAGCTATGAGATTTTGCTTTGCATTGCAGGGTATGGAAAACAAGAATTTCACAGTAATAATGACATTTTGAGAGGATATACCCAGCAGTGTAAAGACAAGAGGCTAATGATTTAAGAACATGAGACTTAGAGGGGGCCAGTGAAAATTAAAGGAAAAGAAAACAAAATAAAGAGCCATTTAAAATAAAATGCAATAGGACAAGGTAGTGAAAAGGACTAAAAGATTAAGACACTATTCAGTATTAGAAATATCAAACTGGGAATAAATTGGAGAAATTTTGAAGGAAGATAAGTTAGACCTGGGACATCATGATTTCTGAATGACTTCATAATGATGAAGGCATCTAAGTTGGCATCTATAAATATGAAACTCAGGTGACAATCGAGCTGGATGAGTGGAGGCAAGCATTACCTACAGAGAGATGAGAATTGGAATCATAAAATAAACCTATTATTCAGTGAAGAAAGAATATAACAGTCTTTAAGGCCAGGTGTTAAGAAATGCCATCACTACTAGGCAACAGATGAAAGGTAGGAGTGATGTATAAGATGATGGGGCACCAATTCCTATGGAGAAGTTTAGAGACAATTAAACACCACTGGATTTAGCAAGAAGGCCACTGATTATGTGTCAGTGGAAAACTCATTCTTGTCTCATTCTCCTATAATAAAACACACACACACACACACCACACACACACACACACACACACACACACACACACACACACACACCATGGTAAATCCCAAACCCAAGACAGGGCAACTCTCAGACACTTTCCATATGTCAGTTCTGTAAACTTAGAGACATTATCGGGTCACTTAACAAGTAGGCACTAGCAGGGCTCAGGGGCCAGCTGAGCATTTGTGAAGCAGCCTGCTAGCTTGGCTGCACTTTTTACCTGTAGCTGAAGTCAGAATCAGTGGCTATGGCCAGGGAAACGCCTTCCCTGGGTACCTGTCTTGGTAACACAGGCAGCCTGCCTTGGAAAGCCTTCAGCCACTCCTTTTAACTAAGGATCTTTGGGGATCTGAGTGGGTGGGCTGATTTATTGGTTGGTTAGGTTTTGTTTTATTTTGTCTTTAAATGGTTGCTGTTGCTTTTCCAGAGGAAGACATTTTTCTCAACAGGTCTGATGGAGCAATAAATACTGGACATCTGAGTGTTGGGCCATGGGCAGATCAGAGAACGTCCAGCTTAGGAATGAGATCCATGATGCTGATAAACAGTCATCACAAGCAGCATCACACAGAATTGCCGGGTCAGAACCACTATCAACCAAAGCCAAATCCCAATGGGCCAAGGCAAGTTGAGACCGCCAAGCAGGTCCAGGGGCTGAGGTAAGTCTGTGTGTGGGAAGATTGGAAGTGACCTGAAGGAAGGTGAGCCTAAGAAGCCTCAGAACCTTGTGGAAGTTTTTTAAGCAAGGCTTACAGCTGCTGGCACAGGCACCTTGGTAAGTTAAAAGAGTCAACACATAACATACACTTTCTCTTGTGTACAAGAATTTTTAAAAAGTCTCTCTCATTCAGTTTTCTTCTGTATGTTCCTTGTACTTTACACCTCCTTGCTGATAGGGCTGTTGTCTCATCATTCATTGTTTCAAAATATGATGCTCCCCCACTTTTGAAACTGCCCCTATTTCCAAAACTCCCCCAACCCGGTTCACCCTCTGCCAATGACACTGGTCAGACTCCCACAAGCCTTTGGTTGATTTCTAAATGCTGTTCCTGGCTCTCATCTTCCTGTGATGAAACTGAAACCAGTTAGTTACCGATGACAAGCAGCTGATTCTTTACCAATAATCGCAGCCCCAAACCAGGAAAGACACGCAAGAGCAAATGTGATAACACAAATAAAATGGCATCCTACCATAAGCATCAGGATGGCCACTTCAATGCTAAAGGCAAATGGGGCTTTGCTATTGGGACACCACCCTTGAAAAAGGGCCCACTTTGACACCTATGTCACTTCAGAAAGACTAACTAGCTGAGTTAAAAGCAGATTCCTGCCTGAGTCACTAGCCAAACAACACTCTCAGTCCCTGGAAACCACAACATCAAGCACAACAAATCCACTGTTTCCTTAGGGAACTGTTTTCACATTTGTGGTGTGTTTATTTGTTTTAACTTAAGGGTTCTTTAAATTTTCTCAACTCAGAGCCTGTGTAGATGTACTATATCCTCTGGTTTATAGTTTACCTCTGCCTACCTGCCTTAACACATAAACTACACTCACATAATATTTTGGAGCATTAGCAAAACAATCTTGGACAGAAAGCTTCAACACAAATCTTGCTTCCTATTTTACCAAGATGTCTAAAGCCATCCTAATATTCCTTGTCTACTATTTAACTTCAACAAAAACCCAAGTGTTCAATAACAGGCCAATATTTAAATTCAAATTACTCAAAAATATTAAATGTAGCTGAGTGTTTAAAAACATAAATAAACTGAGCACATACTTCCGCATTTTGGAGCCAGATTAACATGTGGCTTGCTAATCCCACTTCTGCCTTCTCCTGAACAACCAAGTCTAGACAAAAGTTATTACTGTATAAGTATTCTGTGGTTACTCTGGCTGTACAAGAAAAGCCAATTGCTGTACAACCACAGAGCTCATATGCTTGTTCATTAAAAATTATTATAAGTAGCATTTTCTGTATTAGTTTTAATGAACAACTTTTAACAAATTAATTTTAATATGTTAAAAATTAATTTATAAAAACTAACAAAGCTAAATTAACAAAATCCAAATTGACTAGATTGAATAAATATCTGATAAGTCTTTTGGAAATTTTTTATAGTACACAAATTCATTATGAAATAAGAAATTCTGTGTGTGTCCTAGAAGCATACTGATGGAGAACAGAAAGACCTATCACCACCAGCCAGACCAACAAGAAGCAACATGACCAAACCTGGATGATGGATACTCAGGAGCATGACTCAAAAGGGTACACTCACAGTCTCTGCCTCCTTAACCCTCCAATTGTATCTTCTTCCTACTAACTTCTAGTAAATGACATTGCTTCCTATTTTATCAAAATGGCTAAAGCCATCCTAAAAGTCCTTGTCCACTGTTTAATTTCTACAGCTTGGTTCTACACTCATCCTCACATTTGAATCAAAACTAGTCTTCCTGACTCCAGTTCTCCCCACTTCCACCACTTCTGTTTTCTACCTCAACCTAATCACCTACATAAATCCCAATTTCCATTATGGCACTCTGCTCAAAAACCTTTAAAGAATCTACATGTCTATCAATATGGCCCTCTAAAATCTGATTGTGGCTATTTCCAACATAAATGTTCTCAATGCAGATAATTTCCTGTTATATTCTTACTCTACAAAGATTGTCTTCTCTTCTGTCTTTCTCCAAGACTTTTAGAAAACAAAAACTGAGGCAAACATTACAAAGTATTACTTTATTCAGGGATGTGCATTCCCAGGACAAGAATATAGGAAAAGGAAAGTGAGGCAGGGAAAGATGACAAGCAATGTGAGATAAGTAAAACAACAATGGACTCTACTTCACCATGAGCTTGAAGGACATCAGCCAGTCACTTGGTAGGTCACTCACTCAGCTACCTAGGATGTCTCCAAATAGGCTGGTTAGAGAAACTGTCTCAGATTAGCCTGTTAGAGAAAGAAAGAAAAATAATACTTATCTGTTCAAATTCTTTCTAGCTCCTGGTTTTCTTTAGCCAAAGTAAACTCTCTCACACCTCTAGGTTGCATCTTCTGGACCTTTTGCAAGCTACTTAGAAAGCTCAAGCTCATGCTGATAATTCATACAACTATCAATGTGGTAGTCTCCCAGACATGGTGCTGGCCAGTGTTGGATGATAAAACCTCATAGACCACAAATTCTGTCGGGCTCATTAGCTCAGGCAAAACAGATAGATGGAAGAGATAAAGGTCCTAGAACCAATTGAGACCAAGAAAATCTGCAAAGATGTGTAAGTTCAATAAGCCATCTCCCCACCCAGACAAAGCCAGTGCTTCCATAAAATTTAGCCACTGATCATTCAATTCCCTGAATTTCTTGGTGATGTATGCTTACATACTGCTAGGTTGTGACAGCTATTTAAAGGTGGTGTGTGTCTTAGCCCAGTGTTTCCCAACCTTCTCTCATGATGAGAATCACCTGGTGGAGTTGTTAAAACACAGATTCCTGAATCCCAACTAAGAAGTGCTAAACTAGAATTTTTGGGAACATATAGGTAAAATTGTATACTTAACTAGTGCTCTAAGACAGATTTTATATACAGAGCACTAAGTTAGGTATGCAATTTTACCTATATGTTCTCAAAAATTCTAGTTTAGCACTTCTTAGTTGGGATTCAGGAATCTGTGTTTTAACAACTCCACCAGGTGATTCTCATCATGAGAGAAGGTTGGGAAACACTGGCTTAGCCAATTTGGTTCAGTGGCTAGAGCATTGGCCTGTGACTGAAGGGTCCTAGATTCTATTCAAGTCAAGGGCACATGCCTGGGTTGTGGGCTCAATCCCTAGCAGGGGACATGCAGGAAGCAACCAGTCAATGATTCTCCCTCATCATTGATGTTGCTATCTCCTCTCCCCCCTCCTCTATAAAATCAATAAAAATATACTTAAAGGTGGTGGTGGTGGTAGTGGTGGTAGTGGTGGTGGTGATATGTGTGCTTAATCTCCATTAAATTTCAAGCTCATGAATGCCAGGTACTAAGCCATTAGTAATTCCTTGTATCCCCATTTCAACAGGCAAAGTATGGTTGCATAAATGGTATCCCATGAGTAGTTTCTTAATAAGTGAAAGAACAGAATAATGCACTTGAGCGTAAGTGAATGCAAGAAAAACCTCTTTTCTTTTGACTTCACAGAAATAGTCTGATATTTGGAAGAAACCTTAATGGGCACCTAAATCATTCACTTCTTCCTTTTCTGCACCATGAACAATTAAATCATTTTCTCTACAGTAAAAAATTAAAATGATACAAGTTCAAAATCTACTTTAGAAGCAATTGGCTGTTGTTTAAAAAAATAAAATAAAATATTTAGAAAGAGTAGGAAAGGAACTGAGCACAGAGGCATTACCAGCTGCCCTTCCAGCCCTCTTCCCAATGTTGCACAATCAAATAGCTCCCCGTATGACTCTGGTCCCCTCTAAGCTACCATCCCTTTGCCAGAGTCCAGGGTTGAAGGTTTAAAAAGTTCATTAAAGTCAGTTATGAGAGTACTAGATTCTGTCACTTTCCCATCCAATTTTGGAATGGTGGGCATTTCATAAGAAACCCAAGCCCTAAGCCAGAGAATCACTTTTTCACCAAAGCAAGACATACAGTCAATCCCCTGACTGATCAATCTACTAATGAGCATTCAACCAAATGTGGACTATGCAGGACATAATAATACAAGACCTGAGATTTCCACTTCTTTGCTGACAGGACTTATTCAATGAGGCAAAAAACAACTTCTTTCAGTAGTCAAGGGGTCTAAATCAAGGTTTTCAAAAGCATATATACTAATGACTACATAACTATCATCCAACATTCTTGTGTGAGCTCAGTGATGTTTGGACTAGGTTGGAGGTCCTATAAACATGTCAGTGGCCAGATACTATGATTTTCACTTGAACTAATACTAAATGAAGAGCAGATAGAGGAATAATCATTCAATTCATTATGCCTACCATGTGGCGGATCCCACAGAAGCCTGTGAAACTTCAAGTTAACCAAGAAGAGTTCCTCTATATAAATGTATTGCTACTTCATAATACAATTTCTTTGGAAGGACTAAGAAGTCAGACCAGTTTGAAGAAATGAGATTAAGCTCCATTAGAGAGCTCATCAAGGCAACTGAGTTGAGACAAAAAGGACAGAAGTGCACTGCATTTCTACCAACTTAAAAACGTGTATGATATCTGATTTCCAAAGAATGAGTACCAAGATTCATGTCAAGAGGCTTTGTTCCTATATTTTCTTCTAGGATTTTCATACTTTCAGGTCATATATTTCAAGTTAATTTCTATGACTGGTATAAGATAGGGGTCAAGTTTCATTCTTATCCATGTGCATATACAGTTTTCCAAGTATCGTTTTTTTAAAGAGACTATTTTTTCTCCATTGAGTTTTCTTGGTTCCCTTGTCAAATGTTAGTTGACTGTATATTCATGGGTTTATTTCTGGGATCTTGATTTGGTACTACTGGTATATTTGTTTTCATGCCAATGCCACACTGTAATTTTATTGTATAGTTTGAAACCAGGAACTGTAATGTCTCCTGCTTTGTTCTTCTTTCTCAGGATTTCTCTGGATATTTGGGATCTTTGTGGTTTTCCTTCCTCTTCAGTTTTTTGGAAGTGTTTAAGAATATTACTGCTAATCCTTGTGTAAATATTTTGTAAAATTTAACAGTGAAGCTATCCAGTCCTGGGATTTTTTTAATTGAATATATTTTTTTAAATTTCTGATTCAATATGCTTACTAGTAGTTTATCCATTTATGTTTTCTATTTCTTTCCAATGCAGTCTTCATAGGTTATAAGTTTCTAAGAATTTTTCTATTTATTCTAGGTTGCCCAGTTTGTTAGCATATAATTGTGTTGCTGTTGGATTTATTGTTATAAGTCTTGTAGTAATATTTGACTTTAAAAATCATATACATTACTTACTTTGACAAAAGTAAAAAAATTAAATTAAAAGTGGGGGGGGGGGGGGCCAAGGAAAATGAACTCATTTCCTCTCCAGAGGAAATTAGCTAAAAACTTGATTTTATGTTTATTATTCAAATATGTGCATATATTTTATAAACAAATGTCAATTCAAATTCAAAATCATACCACATGGTGAAATTGTTAAGACCATGGACTCTGGAGTCAAATTCTCTGGTTCAGATCTCAGTTCTACCTCTTGCTAGCTAAGTGACCTTGGGAGAATTACTTAACTTCTCTCTGCCACAATTTCCTCACAGATACAATGAGGATAATAGCACCTACCCAACGGATTTTCATAAACTATAAATGAGAAGTTATCTGTAATGCTATACCTATAGCATGCCATTTATAAGTGTTTGTTAAATAAATAAATAAACAAACAAACAAACAAATAAATAAATAAATAAATAAAGTTATGGGACCTGGGAAGGAAAGATGGGAACAAACAAATTGTATACCACTGAGACACAGAAGGGATTTTGGAGATGAACTATTTCAATTTTCTCTTTCCATACCTTCCTTAATAGCTCTAATGTTAAACATTATTACTAATCCCTTTCCCTACAGTAAGTACCACAGCACATGATCTGTACATAAATCGCCTTGTTTTAGTTGGTTGAAATGTGATTGTAAACACTTTAAGAGCCTACAATCATAGACAGCACATTGCTGATGAAGGAAAAATGTGGATTTTTTGAGTAAATAAGTGAGAAGAAAAAGTTTGAGTAGGAAAGTGAAAAAGTTCAGATTGAAGTTAAAAAGTAATTGGCTAAATAACATCTTGCCTACACTCCAAGAAAAGTATTTACACAGATGATTGAAAAATATGTGGGTCCCACCCCATGTACTGTTTATTTCCCCATTCTTCTGTGACTTATCATTGAAATCTTATCTATTTTATTTGTGCTGTTAACTCTGTTCTTTATTCTCTCTGTTCCTTGAACATCTAATTGGGTCCTTATTCTCTGTGCTACTTCCTAGCTTCAAGACTACACTAGAGAAAGGATACCACTGCCCAGGGCAAGCACAAAAAAACAAACATACAACAGCTTTCATAACAACTAACTTTTTCCTACTCCTACCCTAAGACCCAGAGGTTTCTCTTCCAAAGGTGGGCGGGATAGGTTTTGGGGGTCACATTCTTAAAACATCGCTAATCTCCAAAATACCTCCTTCATATGTCTCTCAAGCACAGCCCCTACTCAGCACCATTTACAGATCCACATATAAAATTATAAATGTAATATGAGGATATTCAATGTTTTATTTTCATAAGAAGACATCATTTATTCAAGCCACTTCAAATTTTTTTCTGGTATGTAAACTCTACCAAATTCTGTATCTTTTCAACAGAATTAAATTTCAATATTGTGTGAACAC